AGGGGAAGAGGATGAGGATAGGAAGAGAGTTCAAGGAGGCCAAGGAATTTTCAGGTCTGTGTCATAAATTAGACCTGGGAAAGGAACAAGTTGTGTGACAAGGTAAAATCCCACAATAGTCTGAGGTGGAAGTAATGGGATCATATCACAGGTGAAAATGTTTGGAGGGATGAGCAGGAGAATGGTTTGGCCTATTCAATATTTTCTATCTCAGCAAAAAGTATGAATCAAGACCCCAAAATTTTGTAAAAGTTTTTCCACTCATTGCATTTCTGTCTGCTAATAATAACAATTTCTCAAACAAAATCACTTGATCACTTGATCACTTGATCACTTCCCATTAATTGTCAATTTGCTCGAGCAGGCGCCAGTAACGTCTCCATTTGTCCCTGTCACGTGCTAATATACCCAATGGCGTCTGTTCGCTCTAGGAACACGAAGAGCCTCAAACCGATCGTTCATGATCTTGATGAAGAAGTATGACCATCTAGTAGGTGGGCGGCCATGCGGTCTTTTGACATCCCGTGGAATCCAGTCGGTAACAGCTCTAGTACAGCGGGTCGTCTTTAAATCTCATTATGTGACCAGCCCATCTGATTTTTGACACCTTGGCAAACAAGACAGCGTCCCTGATTCTTAATCATTGGTGGAGGTCGGAACTCCAGATTCTTTCTCTCTTTTGAGTGAAATGTGATATTCCAAGCAAAGCTCTTTCAATTCCTATTTGGGAGACCTGAATAGCTAGCGTTCTCATTCTGTTTGCTTAGGGCCCAGGTCTCTGAGACATATATTAATGCGAAAAGAACAGTTGAAACAAAGAGATGTGCCCAGAGCCAGAGTTTCTTCATCCTCTTAGCTATTTCTTCGAAACTCTTGAAGGCATTCCAAGCCGCTCTCTTCCTCCTGTGCAGCTCAGGTGCCATGTCATTGGTCATGTTGACATCTCGACCTAGGTACACATAGCTGTTGCATTCGGAGAAGGTTGTTCCGTTAGGAGCAAATGGGGTGTCAGGACCGAGGCTGTTTCTCATAAACATTGTCTTCGTAAGATTCAGCTGTAGTTCGACCTTTCCACACTCACGGTCAAAGTCGGCCAGCATTTGTGCCGCTTGGCTAATGTTTGGTGTTATTAGAACAATGTCATCAGCAAAGCGGAGGTGGTGTAGTTGCCGACCGTCTATCTTCACTCCTATTCCTTCCCATTCCAGTTGTCGCATGATGTTCTCGAGGGTGGCACTGAAGAGTTTCGGTGAAATGGTATCACCCTGCCGATCCCCTCTCTTGACATCAATGATTAGTTCTTTGTAGAATGGTGAGATCCTGGTAGTGAATCCGTAATACAGCTCATGAAGGATCTTGATGTATTGAGCTTGAGTGCCCTAATTGGCTAGGGCTTCAATGACCACTTCCATTTCAACAGAATCAAAGGCCTTCTTTAAATCGATGAACTTTAGACAGAGCAGCATCTTGAACTCCCGAGAAACTTCAATGAGCTTGGTTATCGTGTGGATATGGTTGATGGTGCTGAATCCTTTGCGGAACCCGGCTTGTCACATGGTTGTCCTTCATCTAGTGTTCTGCTAATCCTCTATTCAGGATGACTCGAGTGAACAACTTGTAGATGACAGACAATAGGCAGATCGGGCAATAGTTGCCAATGTCGTGGACGTCTCCCTTTTGTACAGTAGTACAGTCCTGCTGGTTTTCCACTGGGACAGAACCTTGCATTCAGACAGGTAGCATGTGAAGAGTCAAACCAGCATATTGATGAGTACTGACGGCAGGTTCTTCAGGTGTTCAGTTCTGACCTTGTCTGGGCCGGGTGCTGTTCGTTTCTTTACTGACGAAATGGTGTATCAGATTTCAGAAGGGAGAACATTGGGAACTGGGAACGACATATGCATCCTATGGAATTTGGTATGCTAGCAAGTGGACATGGCTATCAAAGAGATTTGAGTAGAAGTCATGGATAATCTTCTCCATTGCAGTTCTGTAAGATGTGATAGATCCATCAGGACATCGGAGGGCAATCATCTTGGTCTTGTAGTTGGCGAAGGACAGGCGGGCGTTACGAATACTTTTCCCGGCTTCTGCCGCATCTACCAGCACTTCTGCTCTTCTCTCTTTGAGATCTTACTTGATCGCATCTCTGCACTGCTTTGCGAGCTCAGATGTTCGCTTGCGGTTGCCTGAGGCATGCGCCAAACCACATTGGAGAATAAGCTCAAGAGTTTTCGAAGACAGGCCTTTTTTTTTTGTGGCTATCTCTCTCTTGGCGTTCCTTGCACATTCATGGAGGTGCTGAACCAGTCGATCGTATTCCTCGTCAATGTTGTCAACAATGGCATCTTCTCATATTGCCGCAATAGTGCCAAAGAGCTCCCAGTTGGTGGTCGTTCTGGGAGTTCTCTTTTTAAACTTTGCAGCCATTTCTCCCCACTCTGTGAAGTAGAATTTTGCACGAAGGAGATGGTGATCTGATCCCGTTTGGAATTTTGGAACAACAGCGACATGGGTCAGGCAAAACCATCGATTGAATATGATGTGGTCTATTTCGTTGTGGAATCGTCCACTGGGAGACTCCCATGTCCAATGTTTAGATTCAGCCTTCTGGAATCTTGAGTTTCCATGAATGGTCTTGGTCAGCATGATGAACTTAGACAGTCTCTCACCCTGTTCGTTCCATTCTAGACCATGTGTCCCAATGTGAATTTCATCACCTGATCTTCTTGGTCTTATCTTGGCATTAAAATCACCCACAATGATCTTGTAGAAGGTGTGGTCTTCTTTATAGAACTTCTCCAGCTCCACGTAGAACTTCTCAATTTTTTCTTCATTATAATTGGATGTTGGTGTAGGCAACGAGGATAGAAACTGCCGGCAGTGAGCCACATCTATTCAAATGTAGACATCTGAATCAGATTGCTAGGCATTCGAATGAATCAATGCTCATGGCCAAGTTTGTGTTGACAAGGACACCGACGCTCCAACACCTCTTTTATCACATGATCCGAGGAACAATTCTTCTCCAGTGTCGAAAACGGGGCGATGAGATTGGTGCCTTCTTGTCTCGGTAAGAGCAGTGATGTCTACTTGATCTTTTGCACTTGTACCATCAGGTCCTCGATGGATGCATCTGATGCTAGCGTACATGCATTGAAAGTACAGACGATCATTTTTGTCTTCCTTCGTTGTGGCAGCCTTGTTAGGCCTTGAGATTTTATTGGCCTCTCCTTTCTCATCCTTCTCAATGCTGCCATTTTGGTGATGCCTTCAGGGTCAGGGGAATGAGACCCATTGTAATTACTGGTTTTGGCATATCGAATACACAACAGATAGCTTGCAAGGCTCTGCCGTGCGGGCGGAATACTCTCTGTAGCTTGCCAGGCTTTCCGAGAGGGATAGAAGCTTTTGGGGCGACCTCTAATCGCCCTTGTAGGTGTTACCAGATTTGAACCTTATCAAATATGGTACGGCAATTCTGGAAGATGGGTATTTTGTGTCTTATAATGTGTCCGGAAAGCGTCCTGGAGTGTGGAGGCGGCTGGGTAGTGGAGATAGTGGAGGTCTGCCAGTGAGGTATTTATCTGATCCAGTAGGGGTAGGGTGGGTCTTCTGTGTGCAATCCAATCCCTGGGTCTCTGGTGGTTGGTGAAAGCAGACAGGGCAGAGTAGGGTGGGGCTCCTGATTTTAATCCCTTTGTCACCTGTGGTTGGTGGGAGCAAGCAGAGAATCTCTGTCCCTGGGTCCATTGAGCCTGGAGTCCAAGGTCTCAGAGTTCTGCTTATCTTGTTCTGTGGGGCTTCAGTCGTGTGTGAGTCTCGGCGGGAGCGGCCGTGTGGTTTCAGAAGCATCCTGGAGTGTGGCAGCGGCTGGGTAGTGGAGGTAGTGGTAGCTTCTCCTTAAACAAAATAATACCGGTAAGTGGTGAAGGAGACTGACACCTCATATGAGCTGGGGTCCACATATGAGCCCAGGCCCTACATGTCCCAGAGCACCTGCAGAGTAAAGCCTGACAGTTTCTGACACTGCAGAACCACAATAGCTTTGCATCCATAGGCCCCAGAATTGAATTGCTCATCCCGAATAACTGAGTTATGTTCAAGGTGACTGTTGGGTACTCTGAGCACTGAAAGAGAGTCTCCACCCCAGCAAAAGAAAATTAAAAACATAAAATTTTAAGCCCTTCCAAAGCACAATTTTATATATATGTATAAAATATATGTATAAAATATATATATGTATACACATATATATTTTATACATATATATATAAATATATAAAAATATATAAAATATTTATGTATATATGTATACATATATATAAATATATATATAAAATCATATAAAATATTTATATATGTATACATATATATATACATATGTATATATATGTATATACATATATATAGGTATTCCAGATCAAAAATAAAATCTCTTTATATCAAGCATATCCACAGCTGTGAATTAAAGGAGTCTGTACAATTCTTGAGAGTGTCAGTAATGGTGTAGTGTGACAGAGACTGGCCCTGGGGCAGAGAGAGCTAAAAACTATGTCCTGACTCTCAGGAGAACAGGGACCCACCCTTCTGTGCTCACACTGGGGCCCTCCTGGGACTGGGGGATGAGCCTGCTCTCTGTGGGCAAATTCTGCTTCCCCACAGGGACCTGCACCCCTGACTTCCCTGCAGCTGGGCTGGTCCCCACACACACCCTCCCCCCTCTGCCTGCCCAGCCTGCCCAGCCCCCTCTCATTTGCAAGTCCTCAGAGTCCATGCCTGGACACTCAATAACAGTCTGTGTCACCCTGCAGGGTCAGTGTCTGTCACACCCAGAGTGGACATGAGGGCCCCTGTGCAGCTCTTCAGCTTCCTGCTGCTCTGGCTCCAGGGTAAGTAGGGAAATGTGGGTTTATATGAATTTAAACTGCCTGGCTCTTCAGAGAAATTACCTCACTTATGATTCATGATAATGATGTCCACTTATATTTTTATCTCAGGTACCATGTGTGATATCCAGATGAGCCAGCCTCCATCCGTTTCTGCATCTCTGGGAGAGAAAGTCACCATCACCTGCAAGACCAGTCAGAGCATTGGCAGTGCTTTTTCCTGGTATCAGCAGAAACCAGGAAAAGTTCCCAGGCTCCTGATCTATGCTGCAACCTTTTTACAACCAGGCGTCCCTTCCCGGTACAGTGGCAGTGGATCTGGGGCAGTTTTCACTCTCACCATCAGCAGCCTGGAGCCTGAAGATGTTGCCACTTATTACTGTCAACATTTTTATAATCTCCCTCTCACCGTGATACACATCAGAACATAAACCCGCAGAGATGGGCTGTGTGAGGCTGGGCTGACCCAGCTGCTCCTCTTGGTGTCTCCCCCGCTGAGGGTGTGTCAGGTGCAGCCAGGCTGTGCAATGATGGACAGTTCTGTCACATGTCGAAGAATCATCTTAGGCTTCATAATGCGCCTTGTTATCCCAGCAGCTCAGACATGACAACAGATCTGTTGATTGAATTTATAGAGATAGATGATTTTTCTGAAGTAAGTGGGTGACATTGTCATTCAGAGTTCATATGTGCTGGCCCAATCACTCCAGGAAGCCTAGAAACCATGTTTTAAAAGACATTATTTAATAATAACTTTTATTTCCACCCCATTTGTGAGGACACATGAGCAGCTTCATAGCCTCACACTGAGGGCGTCTTTCAGGTTGCATCCTCCCCTGCCATGACATCCTGTTTGATGTGGGACCGAGGGAGAGACTGCATCTCACCAGGGGACAAACCCTTACAATTCTGTGGTGTGTGTTGAGTGTGGGACTGGGGGGATGAGATCTACTCCCTTGTCTTAGGAATTTTGATCCTGAAATCTTAATGGGAAATAAAACAATTTCAGTGACTGTTATACTATCCTAGATACCCTTGAAGTTGTAAAGGGGAGTTGTAAAGTTGAAGTTTCAAGGTGGAGGAGTGCAGAGAATTCAGGCAAGTAAGAGAAAATATAGAAAATGAAAATGTCAATCCCCTATACTTAGCCCAAAGTTTTATATCAAGGCCTCATGGGAGATACCCTGGATCACAGTGCCTGAGCTGCCCTGCATGGTCAAACCTTGATACACTCAGAGGGAATGTATATCTAAGGAAATCATTGTTTCTAGGAAACTCCACATTATTGTTGATATTCACCCACTCTTGTAGGCCAAAAGTCCACCATTTATTTATCTAACAATACTGATTTTCCTCGGATTGAATCCCTAGTGATGCTGGTGGGATCCATGGTGACTCACATGAAATGGGGAGGAGAATGATGTTCACTTTCTTTCTTTTTTTTTTTTTTTAATTTTTATTAGTGAAACACCATGAGGTACAGTTATAGACTTACAAATTTTTGTGCTTGGATTTCGGTCATACCATGATCAAATACCCATCCCTCCACCAGTGCCCATTTTCCACCACCAAGGATAATATCCCTCCCCCCCCCCCCAATTCCCCCCATCCCCCCCCTGCCACTGTGGCAGGGAATTTCCTTTTGTTTTCTCTCTCATTTTGGTTGTTGTGATCAGCAAAAGAGGCATTGAGTGGCAAACATGTTCAGTCCAGTCTACTTTCAACCTGCATATCCCCTCCTGGTAGGATCCTCCAAACACCCTCCATTTGGTGCTCCCTTCTCTATCTGAACTGTCCTTTCCCCTAGAATACCCGGCTGGCCTCTTAGCTATGGAGTAATCCTCCTGGTGTTGATCTCAGCTATTCTTGGGTATTAATCTCATATTTTGTTATTTTATATCCCCCAGATGAATGCAATCTTTCTATGTCTATCCCTCTCTTTCTGACTCATTTCGCTTAGCATGATACTTTCCATATTGTACCACTTGTATGTAAAGTTCATGACTTTATCTTTTCTAAGAGCTACATAGTACTCCATTGTGTAGATATACCAAAGTTTCTTTAACCAGTCATCTGTTCTTGGGCACTCAGGTTTCTTCCAGTTTCTGGGTACTGTAAAGAGTGCTGCAATGAACAAACAAGTGCAGATGTCACTTCGACTATACTCTTTTGCCTCTCTGGGATATATTCCCAGGAGTGGTATCGCTGGGTCAAATGGGAGCTCAATTTCTAATTTTTTGAGGAACGTCCATACTGTTTTCCAAAAGGGCTGAACCAGTCGGCATTCCCACCAACAGTGAAAGAGTGTCCCTTTCTCGCCACATCCGAGCCAGCAATGGTTGCTTTTGTTCTTTTGAATGTGGGCCAGTCTCTGGGGTGTGAGATGGTATCTCATTGAGGTTTTGATCTGCATCTCCCTGATGATTAATGATGTAGAGCATTTTCTCATGTGCTTTTTTGCCATTCGGATTTCTTCTTTGAGAAAGTCTCTGTTCATTTCCTTGCCCCATTTTTGATGGGGTTGGATGTTTTCTTCTTGTGGAGTTCAACCAGTATTTTGTATATCCTTGATATCAACCCCTTGTCAGATGTGTATTCGGCGAATATTCTTTCCCATTCTGTAGACTGTCTTTGTATTTTGGTCACTGTTTCTTTGGAGGTGCAGAAGCTTCTTAAGTTTAAGATAGTCCCATTTATCTATCTCTGTTTTCACTTGCTTGGCCAGTGGCGTGGCATCTTTGAAATTACCACTAGACTCAATGTCATGGAGGGTTTTGCCAACTTTGTCTTCAATGTACCTTATGGTTTCTGGTCTGATGTTGAGGTCTTTAATCCATTTTGATCTTACTTTTGTACATGGTGTTAGGCAGAGTTCTGAAGGATTCATCCCAGGGATGCAAGGATGGTTTAACATTCGGAAATCAATCAACATAATCCATCATATCAACAAAAGAAAAGATAAAAAGAATATGATCATATCAATAGATGCAGAGAAAGCATTTGACAAGATCCAGCACCCTTTATGATGAAAACCCTAGCCAAAATGGGTATAGAGGGGACTTTCCTCAACATAGTTAAAGCCATCTACCACAAACCTACAGCAAACATCATCCTCAATGGGGAAAAACTGAGAGCCTTCCCTCTAAGATCAGGGACAAGACAAGGATGCCCACTCTCTCCACTGCTGTTCAATATAGTACTGGAAGTACTTGCAATAGCGATTAGACAAGAAAAAGATATTAAGGGCATTCAGATAGGAAAGGAAGAAATCAAGCTCTCACTATTCGCAGATGATATGATACTATACTTAGAGAACCCAATAACCTCCACCAAAAAACTCCTAGAAACAATAGACTTGTATAGTAAAGTTGCAGGCTATAAAATCAATACCCAAAAGTCCATGGCTTTCCTATACGCAAACAGTGAAAGAGAGGAAAGTTACATAAAAAAAATCAATCCCTTTCACAATTGTGCCCCAGAAAATCAAGTACCTAGGAATCAGCTTAACTAAGAAAGTAAAGGACCTGACAAAGAAAACTAAAAAACGCTACTTCAGGAAATAAAAGAGGACATGAGGAAATGGAAAGATATCCCCTGCTCATGGGTCGGGAGACTTAACATTGTCAAAATGGCAATACTACCGAAAGCATTGTATAAATTCAACACAATCCCTATAAGGATACCCATGACATTCTTCAAAGAAATGGAGCAAACACTCCTGAAATTTATATGGAATAATAAGCCCCCACGAATAGCTAAAGCAATTCTTGGGAAAAAGAAAATGGGAGGAATCAACCTCCCTAACCTCAAACTTTACTACAAAGCGGTAATAATCAAAACAGCATGGTACTGGAACAAAGGCAGAACTTCAGACCAATGGAACAGAGTTGAATACACGGACATCTCCCCTCAATCATATGATCATCTAATCTTTGACAAAGGTGCAAGAAATGTGAAGTGGAGTAAGGAAAGCCTCTTTAACAAATTGTGCTGGCATCACTGGACGGCTACATGCAAAAAAATGGGCTCAGAACTCTGCCTAACACTTTCTTTCAATCTGCTTCTGCCACCCGGAACCCAGGGTTACTAGGTTCTGGTCTTGCCTCACAGAAAAGAATTTCAGGAGTAGTCAAGCAGTAAAGTAAAGCAGATTTTATTTGGAGGTTTTAAAGTGAAGGAGGAAAAGAAATATAGAGACATACACACACACACACACTCAGAGAGAGAGAGAGAGAGAGAGAGAGAGAGAGAGGAGAATAGTGGGCTCAAGCAAGAACCCGGGCTTCTCTAAGGGTGGAGAGAGCCCCTACACACATCCCAGCATTGGATATGAAAGCATGAAAGCAAAAGTATCAAGAGAGGAGATGCAGGCGACACATGTGCTCAGGCACCACATGTGCTCTGCCATGTGGGTACAAGCAGCACATGGGCATAGTCAGCATATGTGTGCTCTTCCTTTGTTCTAGGTGGTGTTTATAGTAGGTTTCTCCAACCTGCCTTCGTGTGGGGCTTCTCCCTAGGTAAAAGTCTATTGCTAAGGAAGTTATCAGGGAGGTTAGGTTGGTGATGGTCTTTGAAATTCCTTCCTGGGTCTTTTGTTTCTGCAGGAGTTACTCTGGGTCTGTTTTTCCTATGGATAGATTCAGGTCTTACAGGCCTTAGTTCCTGTTTTTTCCTGTTTTTTTGTGAGGTCAGCTTTTGTCATTGACTTGGTATCTGGCATTCCTTAGCTACCTGCTTCCAATAATACTAGAATGGGAACATAAAATATCAGTTGACATTGGTGGGGACAACGTTGACCTCTTTTCAAAAGACAGATACCCAGATTTGCACTTCACATTTTGTTTTCTGCTTTCCCTAGCACAGACCAACCACTCTTTTTGCCAAACTGGTCCCGTCCTATGGGCAGGAAGCTCCTGGGCCATGGAGTTCCTCTTTCCTGAATACGGGCTGAGTCCCCCAGAGTCTGGGCACTGGCTCCAGCTGAGTATGGGAATGTTGGGGCTTAGGGGCAGGTGCCTGTGACCTGGGCACTGAGATGAGACCTTGGCTCAGCTGTGCAGCGTCACAGCACTGCCTGCTCTAGCACATCAATGGCACAAGCAAGACCTTGGCGACACAATCAACACAGGGACTCCCTGGAGTTCTTTTGCGTTAGTGTCCCATGGTCAAGAGGGTCAGTGGGTTCCCTGGGTGTGATGGTAAATGTGTGAAAGTAGCTCTCAGAGACTGATTTTACACAAATGATCAGGTTCTTTTCAGTGGGGGCATGAGTCCAGTCTAAGTTGTCTGCCTGAGGACATTGGAGTTTACTGCTGTATGCAGTTTAGGAAGTTTACATCCACAGTTATACAGCCCCAAAATGAACCACATGGCCTGGGTCTGTTGCCCACACTTGTTATTTGCTGCTGAACAGAAAGCAGAGTCTCTG